AAAAAAAAAAAAAAAGATCCTACCTATAGAGCTGATTGATGGTGCCTAACACATAGTGAGCCCTCATGCACTCACCTACATCCTGCCTGCCCCAGGCAGGCAGACATCTGGGCTGAACAGAGAGGAGAATGAAGCAGGAAGGGGCTGCCTATACTCACCTCTGCCACATGGATTGCTGGAGAGGGAGGGATAGCCACCTTATAGTCTTGGGCCCTCTGTCCTGCTCCCAACCCATCCCCGAGGCTCTCTAGGCATGTCTGATCAGAGCCCTATGTGCCCTGCTCCAATACTTGATGGCTGCTGACCACATGTTTTGGGTTGTCTGCTACAGTGCATTTGTACTGGAATAGTGCCGATGGACCAGGCCCTGAATCAGAGAACTGCCTACCTGATTCCCTCCTGTCTGCAGCAGTTGCAGAGCCTCTGTGGCTTACCCATCCTTCCCTTCCATCTGCCCAGGTGCTTCTTGGGAAACATTGGGGGCCAGGCATCCTCCTGATCCAAGTGGGCTAAGACCTAGGGCTCCCACGGGCATCCCCAGGGCCCATTGTTAGCTGTAGGGTGGTGGGCAGCAGGACATCCACATGTCCGTGGGAAGCCTGTGGGCATAAACAGGCAAAACTGGGGCCCCAAAACTCAGCCAATGTCCCTGAGGGCCTGCTAGTATGGCCATACTCTCCCCTCCCAACCTCCGACTGGAGGTAGTGACCCAGTACACTATGCCGCTCAACAGCCCCTGACACAGGGCCCCTATATCCTATCCCAAGCACCCTCCTCCATCTGCTCCTTCTGCTCTGGGGGCCCCAGCAGTGGTGACCGAAGCTGTCAAGTGCCCAGGGCTAGGGCTTCATGGGTTTCTCTCCTGGAGTGAGAAATTGGGCACTAAGCTGTTCATAGGTGCTTGCTGAAGACATAAAGTGACAGAGGGATGAGGGGTCCAGGACCCAGTAGGGAGACCCATGACACCAGGAGAGACAGAAAGCACCAAGCTGCTCTAGACATTGCTCTAGTAGCTCCCACCACCTGGGGTACTGCCCCAGTGGATGCAAAGGGCACTGTCAGCCTGGCTCTCTGTCACATGGCCTGGAGCCCACCTATATTCCAGAAAGGTGAAGGGGACCATTGCTCAGGGTCTTTTGAGGCTTGGGTCTAGAACTTGCCTGGTGCAACTTCTGCCAGGTTCCACCAGCCAAACCAGGTCCAGTGCAATGGCTCACCGCCTGTAATCCCAGCACGCTGGGAGGCCAAGGCAAGTGGATGGCTTGAGTTTAGGAGTTTAGGACCAGCCTGAGAAAATGAAAAACCCGGCTCAGTGCCTGTGGCTCAAGCGGCTAAGGCGCCAGCCACATACACCTAAGGTGGCGGGTACAAATCCAGCCC